TTCGAAACGGCGTATACGATTCAGGATTTAATGGGCGATTGCTTTGTCATCGAGGACATCTCGTTCGGCGGTCAACGGCATTCCCGGCGAAATTCCATCTTGAATTTAACACATGATAAAAGAGTCTGTCACAAGCTCGAGTAAAGCTATCTCTTGTAAGGCGACTGAATATAAAACGCGAGTAATTTATAAGTTATCAGTGTATCGATCAAATAAGAAGTTAATAAGTTAAAATAATATTGCAACTTGATTTTTATGGAACGTTTGCTCGCTTAACGATTCTTATATTCTTTCTTTATATGTAACTTGTGCAATCTACGTCAACATTGCATCATAGCGAGCACCTGTCGTTCTTTCCATTGGAAGAAATAAAGAAAAGAAAATCGACATCATTTCATTGAATTTTCGAGTTTAAACTCACAGTTTTTTTCATTGTTAAAATAATATTATTGTTAAATAATTATTGTTAAAAATAATTTTAAAATAATATAATAAAACAAAGTGAGACTAATGTGATATCGCTCACAAACAAATTTTTCATTCGCAATCGCGGTTCGATACAGAGAATTTCGGAGTGGGAATTATTCGGCGCCGATGCGTACTTTCGAAAGCAATGAGTCTTGAAAGGTTCCTGCGAACGAAACCTTAAACCTCTTTCGCCCTCATGCTATATTTTAAGCTTCACGCGTTCCTGGCATACTCGCGACGTCAGGAACCGCAACCCCACGACCCCGTCGACACGTAGAAATAAATTGCGCTCCGAGTCACAAAGAAAATTCGAGAAGGACCTCTCCTGGAGGCGAATACGAACGATACGAAGAAACATCCTCCTGTCTTTGCTGGCGATGAAATCGACGATGTCGAACTGCGCATTTAATCGCTCCGCTTTATAATTAATTGGGCCTGGTAACGAGCTGCGTGCAGAGATCTGCAGAGCTCGCTAGTGGAATTACAAACATTTATCATCTATTAATTAAGCGATTAGTTCGCGACGTCGCTAACGAGGAAGCCAGTGTGTAAGACGGCATTTCTTTGGTGCGAGCGCCTTGGGGCAATTTCTGCAGTACTCACTAAGCAGTCGGTTTAGACCTGCTCGGAATTCGAGCGTGCATAATTCTAAACGTTAGCACATCCAATGATCATGGTTTATCGATCCTCGAGAAATAACTTATTATTTCCTATCGTCCGTCGAAGAGCCAGCGGTCAGTTGTGAGGACTATATTCAAGCCGCGCAGCTTGATTTAGTACATTCACTTTTCCTCAATTTTCTACACTTTCTATTTCTGCTGATTTTCCGCAGATCAAAGATTTGCGGCGATTCGAATATCTTGTTCATTCAGTTTGATTAACAGCGTGCTATAATCGTCGCAACACAACTACAACGATAATAAGTCACCTCCGCGCAACTCGTCAAGACATTCGAGGGTCAACGCGAGCATTGTATTCCGATAACTCGCGGTTCTGTCTACCAGGAAAAGCGACAATCGCCATACTTTACGTCTGCGGATACGCATTGAAATGAGCGCGTGGGTGGCGGAGAGGAAAGACGCAGGTAGATTCGCGGAAGAATATACTGCGCTTTGTACACAGATCCGACGCGAGAAACCTCCGAACGTCGGAGGAGAGAACCTGTACTCTTTCCGGCGTGCCCCCGAGTGCATCCATAAAAAGGGGACCCGTATTCGTCGGCGAATTTTTTTTCGGTCGCGTGGGTGACCCGGAGCGTTCCCGTTTCGCAAGACGCGTCACGGTTGCAGTGTGACACGTCGCCCCCGCAATTTTCTCCGACGGGAGAGGAACCCCGAGGTTCTGCCGGGGAACGTTATAGCGTTGATTTTCGCGTAGGTTGACACCGGCTCTCGACCGGTGACACATGGCGCCAAAGTGGCGGCGACGGTTGAACGTTACGCCGATGTCGCAGTGCGCACTATACCTGCATTTTTGCGGAAAACGTCGGGGTTTATCAGTTCGCTGAGCGAGATTGCGTCACGAAATCAATCTGACGCGCGACACGCAATACGTCACCGGCGCGCGGCCACGACATCGAGAAAATTTTATATCCGCTGATACATCGCAAAACGATCATCGTGACTCAAACGATGGCAGTCAGTAGTTTCAATGGTCGTAACTATATTCGCTTAATAGCTCCGTTCAGAGATGTAAACCGGTTTTATTTGCGATCTTATGTTTTCCGATATCGCATAACGCGACAATGAGCCACACACTTAATTATTATTTACTGTTCATGGTTTTTCTCACTCTGCTGTTTCAAAAAGAAAATATCCAATCCTCAATAGCTACAAAGATACATTTGTCATTAATATAATTATATACTGCAAAAGTGTGATTCTTTAAAGATAAAAATGATCAAGAAAGTAATTATTATTGAATGCAACGATGTGAGCTGTACATCCAAAAATCATTATGGCAATTTAATTATACGTATAATTCAAATTTCTAAAATATTCTATATTTTCTGCCTGACTTTTAAATATACTACATTTTTAATATCGCATATCTTAGAAAGATAATGTAGCCGCGTCGTGATTTCTCTGACCGATGAAAAAAAATCCTGGCGATCCATGACGACAAAAGATTCGCAAGAAGAAATAAAGTTAGGTACACCAGCATAAATAGCGAGCGCAAGGTACCGTTGCGACCGTACCGGGTTGAGGGTCGAGGTGATGCGATCGTGATCGATGTAGATCGTTCTTTCGATCTATCTGCGGCAATCCGTGCTCGAGTAGACCGGTGTGTCCCTACCAGCTGACCGGTCAATCTACATATACCGGTAAACTACGTGCTTTTACGTGCACAACACACACACGCAGCGAGATACTTTCGTATACGCGAATAAGTTGTATATACATACATATATAAATACATAATGTTTGTAGAGCGAGATCTGTTTCCGGGTCACGCTACGGCAGGTTGACGCCGAAGATATCGGCGCTATTGTCCCTCGTGCTCGATATCTACGATTCTCTCGCATCGATTAGCATTGATCTGTAGATCATTGTGATTGGCCTGCGAGACTGGCGGCCGATGCCGATTTACTCGGATACGTACATAGATAGTTCCAATCTTCCGTTTCGCGAACGATCACAGGCAATCAGCTGGTCACTCGCCCGCGGTGAGAGACGAGAATAGAGATCGCTTGATCCCATACGGATTGGTGCAAATAGACCTCATAGGATCTGTCATGTTCCGATATTTCAATAGTCAAAGGTATATCTGGATTAAGTGAACGTTTAAAATTTATTTACTTAATAGTCCTGCAAATTTAAATTTACCATGGCGTCAACGTTGAAAAGAGAATAATAAATGTCGGGAAAAACTGATAAATTCTCTAGATCTAAATCTACGCTCCTTTCGCCGCAAGCGCTTTAATTGCATTGTAACGATCTCCCGTGAACCGAGAAAGACACCTGCGACCAACGAGAGTCGCAGCTGATATCCGAGTCTTCTAAATTGCGTAATGATCACTGCCTAACAGAGTGTGGGACTCGGTGTGTTTCAGCCGGTGAATGTGGAGACTTAGATTCAAATCGTACCTCTTTCTCTTTCCGACAAGCGAAATCGTATAAACTGCGAAGATATGATCTACCTCGACCACACCTCGAGAGGAGGATCGAACCGTCTCCCGTATACCTCGTTTTTGACGTATCTCGAGGGGATTAGCATAAGGTACGTCTGGTAGGCTTATCGAGCCTACATTTGCTTTACGTAAAGGCATAACGGAAGCTAACATTTGACATAATCACTAGTTAACAAGAGTTTTCGCACGGCAGAATGATTTCTCTTTATCAAGGCCTATTCATTTTATACTATGGTAATTCTAAAGATATTAAATATAAAATATGTTTTTCATCTAAATGAATGTGTGTGATGCAAAATTTGTAAACTTCGAGTAATAAAAAAAACTTTTGCAGCAGAATATTAATATAAAATTAATAACAAATTAATGTTTTAAAACAATTTATATGTAACACTTTGTGTGCTATAGAATACTTTGTGTTTTGTAATAAAATTTTCATAATTATTAAAATCTCAAGATCTCTAAAAATATTTTTTAATATACATCTAATTTTTACATATTTTTTTACTAGTTTAAAATCAAAATTGTAAATATAAATGAAACAAGTTTCTTAAAACAGTAACTGCAGTCGCACCCTTACATTTCTCTGCGTTACTTATTTCTATTCATTTTTATATACAAATATCTTATCTATAGTAGATATTTCCTTATATCAACTATAGATATTTTATTTACTACAGATATTTTCATCTCGATATCCTTTTCTACTGTTATATACTGATGATAATATATCGATAGTGGGTAGCAGATTTTGCGTTTCTTCTACTTTACCAATGCTTTAAAAGTAATACTATCTTTTGTATCCTCTTTGTAAAAGGATCTCATAGATGGACTTGGATGGATCTAAATGGACCTTTAAGGAGAGAGGTGCCCTTTTCCATAACACAAAACCCATAAAACGTTATGGTCAAAGATTCAAACCTTCAGACGGTGGAGGTTGTGTGACTCAGCAGTTTGCTCGAGAGCACATTACTTTGATGGCTCGTTCGAGCTTGATCATTTTACTTCCTTGGATAAAATAATTTTAGTGAATTTGTGATTATAAATAAATTATTTTGAACAGTGACAGTGTATAATCATGTTGCAAAACATTAAACAACTAACCATGTGGAAGATAATTAAATATAAAAAAAATTTGTGTCTTGTCTGTGAGAGGAAATGCTTCAATACTTTCATAGAGTTCAATACTTTCATTAAGAACACATTATTGAAATCAATCAGCTTGTCTATTGCTTAAAACAAATTATTCTCATGCGTGCTCCGCTTTCAGATGATCATTATCGATCCGATAAACGAAATCGCAGAATGCCGGTGTACATTTTAAACAATAAGAAGTATTAAAACTTCATTTCTTCGCGGACTTCTCAAGGCAAACTACTGCAATTTATATGATGTAAGCCGACTCAAATCTCACACGTATCTTCACGTATCGCCTCTCACCGTTTCTCCCCAAGTTCCACGCGCGTGAGTGCGCGGGCGCGTGCTTTATAACAGACCATAGTGAGGTCATACACCCACCTTAACAGGTGATTCGTTTTTTCATTTACATCGCGCGGACTCGTTATAAGACGAAAGTGCGAAGAACTCTTAAGAATATTCGATCCGTTTTAATAGTTTTTCACGATGATCATGAGGACGTTGTTCGCTGCTCATCGTGTGTCATTAGTGCTCGTATTCACGGTCACTGTCATTGACGGCAATTACACGGATATCAATCTACCGCAACAACACATCAAGTATTATTTCAATTCTTTTCCCACGGTAGCAGAAAAGTGCCGCAACGACGCAGCCTGTCCATATAAGGTAAAGTTTGGATTTAATTTTCATTTCTTAATACATCCTTTCACTTGTATGTGATATGAAACATTTGTATATCATTTAAAACATATAAGATTTTAACGATTTTTGCGTTTACCTCCTAATGTCCGTATTCTTAACTTTACGAAAATTACGAATTTCTTTCAATTTTATGAAAATTTTGTGTGAAATTTTAATTCTTAATTTTTTATAGTTTTTTTCAAATTGTTTTCTATATTTTTTAATTATTATACGTTAATTACAAACAAGATTGTGTCAATTTCGCAACACATTCTAGGACAGCCTTGATACCAAAGCTTGTTGGGGCTACGAGAATGATTGCAAAATGGAAAATTCTTTTTCCATACCACTTTGTCCAGGTGATCACAAAGGATGGGTCGCTACGAAAAAGGCTCAACTGGAGACATATTACGCACAAGGCGATTTCGGATATGTTCGTGCAATGAGGAAAGAAATGATGCTATTATGCGAACCATTATTTATGGTAAGTTCGCTAAATCATAATGTAACTCTGATATCATGAACGAAACACAGAAAGATAATTAAATCGGCATCTCGACGTGCATCTTATTTTTTAGGATGATTCATCCTTGGAATGTGCGGAGCACATGAGGTTTTGCAGAGCGCGAAATATAATGTTAAATTTCACAGATCTGCTAAGTCGCAAGGAACCTATACGATACAAAATGGACGTGCTAAAAGAAGGTCAAATTGGCGGCTACTGCACGTAAGTAAATGAATCAGTGAGCAAAAAACAGATCACTTTTATGTTTCCTTTTGTACTTGTTACCTAAGTAAGCTGTTGGAAAGTAACTCTCTCTTTTATGATTAGGATGAATGAAAGGAGATTGCAGGACAACGTGGATCATATCAGTCCATTGCAGTCCTGGGGACCAGAATTACGAAATTTCAAAAAACTACCTCGTCGACCGATTGTCCACGGTGATTGTGATGTCGTTATTGAAAAACCGACTTTTATCATTAAGATAGACGCAAGTAAGTTTAAAAATATTCATAAAAAAAGATTCTCTGCGACGAGGAAACTACAGTTCATATCTGTCATTTTGTTAAAGTCGTTTTTTTTTAGTAGTAAATATGTACCATCATTTTTGCGACTTCTTCAATTTATACGCATCATTACACGTCAATCTCTCGCACCCATCCGCCTTCGATACAGACAATCATATAATGATCTGGGAAAGTTATAGGTAACAAGCACAAAACGAATCATTAAGCGAAACTGGCACAAGTATAAAATGAGAATTATGAATTGTTACATATCGAGCTGCGTTTTGCTTTCAGCTACCGCTCGGCGTTTCAAGATACCTTCGAAGCATTCACAAGGAATCCACTTTGGGATTTAAAAACATTCCGAGGCGAGACCGTGTGTTTCAAAAATGTGGTCTTTCCACTCTTACCACGAATGATTTTCGGGCTTTATTACAACACGCCATTAGTACTGCCATTGTATATCCTTCTAACGAGATACTACATGCTCTAAGAAAGACTATTAACTAAAGAAAACATTTTTAGATTTACGGCTGTGAAAAATCCGGATTGTTCAAAGCATTCAGCGATCATGTACTGCATCGACTTGATATACCTCTTCATCAAAGGAAAGATCGGAAGATTCACGTAACATTACTGAGCAGAGACACTAAGTACAGAAAAATTTTGAACGAGAATGAGTTGGTGAAAGCTTTAAAAGAGAATCCGGAGTATAAAGTCAGAAAGGTAAAGCTTTAACATTCTATTGAGTTAACTCTTAATATTTTTTCTATCGCATTCGTTATATGTATAATTTACTCTAACAGGTAGTATACAATAAAAATGTGCCATTCAAAAAACAATTAGAAATCACTCGAAATTCCGATATCTTTATCGGTATTCACGGTGCTGGATTGACGCATTTGATGTTTTTACCAGATTGGGCAGCTGTATTCGAAATGTAAGATCCAATTTAATATTTTTTTAAATGTAACCGCGAATATTATGATTATGCATATTTTTCTTAGACATAATTGTGAAGATCCTAACTGCTACAAAGACCTTGCTCGGCTAAGAGGCGTGAAGTACTATACGTGGGAAGATACATCAAAGTTAACGCAACAAGATCCGGTACGTTTATTAGATTTTAATAGAAGACAAGTAATTCTGTAACACACAAAAACAAACATTTATATTTCTTTTCTATTATATCTTCTTGCTGATTTAATGATTTGAACTAAACTCTTGTTAGCTTGCAAACATTTTAATATTTTAATAATTATAAAGATATTTAATTTACAGGGAACGCATCCCGATGGCGGAGCTCATGCGAAATTTACGAACTACAGTTTTGACGTTAAAGAATTCTTGAGAATTGTTGCACTTGCAAGGAATCACGTAAAGCATCATAATGCTTTTAAAAAGTTTATTAACAATTTTCGCTCTGAAGTACAAAATGATACTAGCACGACGAATGAAAAATCGGTACAATCTTCTAACACGAAAGAATCGATTCGATTACAAGAGAAATCGAATATATTGTCCAAAGATGAATTGTGAATAAAATTTAGGTATTAAATTAAAAAAATTAATATAGAGAATGTTAAAAGGTGTGATCGGAAATGCAGTAAACCAGTTGTTACTGACCAAATTAATTTTACTTATTTTTATAATAATGTACATATTTTAACAAGTAAAAGACAATAAATGCTGAAACTCGATATGTCTGTGTTGCGTTTGGCAGTGCTTTCTCTTAATTATCAATTCTTAAAGTTCATATTTATAAATAAGTTCGGATTTGTAAATTGAATTACATTTATCTATTTTTGGCCATATGAGACTTATAATGTGTAATCTGTAATGAAAAATAGTTCCCTGTGTACGCGTTATGTATAAATTATATTACCTAATATTTTTAACGTAAAAACACATGGAAGAATTCTGCTGAAAATACAATAATCAAAAGTTCGATTCTAAGATTGTAAATTTGTCCAAATTGTCTCATTACAATTTTTGCACAGACTTCATAATTTGATTGGTATTTGCATCCTGTAAAGTATCAATGTCGAAAATATACTTGTAGCCATATATATTATTAATATTAATAGAGCTGTCGATGGTTTCGCATATAATGTGTACATTAACGTATTGACAAGCCCAGTTATAACGTTACAAAGAAGGAAGAAAAACAAGCCGTTATAATTTACAGCATCAAAAATTTCCAAAGATCTCTTGACTATACCTTCTTCTTTATGTACTTTCTTCTCGCTCTCCACATTTTTCTTTAGATTCAATCGCAAATTTTTGCGCAGTCTCTCCGTTTTGCTTTCAATGTGCGATTCATTTACTACATAATTAACTATATCTATCACAACCTCCACAAATAGCAAAAGTGTAAGCAATGTAGTTGTTAAAGTTAATATCCACATGCAGTAACCGGCATTAGCTAATCTTCTTGAAATTTTGAAGTACGAATCACAGAATAATGTTGCAATACAAGTTTGCACCGATATCAAAGATAACTTAATGCACAATAACATAGACTCATTGTAGCTCGCTTCAAATTCAAGACCATACAGCTTCAAAGAAATATTCATGTTCAATTTTGTGTGCGAATTTTGATATGTGGAATGTATTAATCTTCCAACAGCTACACCGACAAAATATAATCCTACATAACCAGGTACAGAAATTAGGCCCTCTCGATTGGCAGAGAAAAAATCATCTCTCGGCGCATCTCCTAAAATCCAGGTTTTGAAGCCTTTCGTGTTCATGATGTATTCGTGCATCCCTAATATCCAAATACCTGAGAGTAGTGAGTACCTCGAGTTAATAGTACTGGTAATCATACTAGTGAACAATTTAACCACAGCTAAAGTCATAAAAAAATTCCAATGAATGCCATACTCAGTGACATGCTTTTGATATCCCATGTATTCCACCGTTACGAAACGTCCGAGGCCTAACACCAAGAGAGGTACACAACTTCGGAAGCAACTCCTTAAATTTTTCGTGAGAATTTCCTCAAACCTCGCTTGGCGGTGAACAGAAAAATCACGAGCCTCTGGCGCAACCAGGGCATTTGCTAATATAAATAATCCAACACCAGTGTCCATCAGGCTATATCCAAACACTTCTGTTTTGGCAAACTTCCGTGGAAAGATTCGAAAGTCTACAGCCAATATACAAATCGCAGTTATAATATTAGTTAATGCGCGAAAATTAGTTATGAAGGGTCTCTTGCCGGCAACTGGACGCATAGCTAAATCGATGACATTAGTACCCTTGCTCGCCAGAAGCATTATATTTAATACAGAAATAGTTATCATTACGATGCATACGCTACCAATGTGTTCCGATAACACGGTGCAGCACAAGACAGTCGGGACAACAGTTAGTATAAATTCTATGACGACTCTCACATTCCTGTGGATGTGTTTCCTAAGAACGCCCAGAGTCGTCGTTGTCAACAAGATGCCGCACACATTAGGCAGAAGCGTGAGAAGAATGTCTTGCGGCGTCGTGCCTCCGTGATTGGAAACGAACGCTTCTTGTTCGAGTCGGTATTGTTCCTTGTCCACCGGCGTCATTGTTACGGAAACATCAAAATTCTGGAGCTCTACGAGTGTTTCCAATCCAACTATAATTTTCTGTAATTGACATAAGAGAGCGTACACGACGAACTTACAATCGTGGATAATTTTTCCGTTGATTACTCTGCTGCTACGCGATGTGATAAATGTATGCGTATTACATGATGTCTATCAATATTTGGAGGTTGACAATAATGTGCATCTGACACATGGCTCTTTTTATAGATGGCAGCACTTTGTCTTTTGTTTTGATCGTGCTATAATTTGATTATGAACGACAGTGTATCTCAATGAATGTAGTGGTCGTAATGTGATAATGACATAATGTGACTTGATCTGCATTAAAAGAACGATATATGTTAATATCAATATACGAAATGATTAATTTTCTATTTTTAATTCATTTGGAAACATATTACAGTGTCTAAAAACGAACATAACCAGGAGGATAAAGAATTACATGGAAAAGAAAACTAAAAGATCATTCCCTTTTCAAGAGGATTTTATGATAAACAATCAAATTAAAAAATTTAAAGTACATGTTACTCAAATGCCAAACAACATGGAAAACATATCTGAAAATAATTTTATAAAATATCCAAAAGTGCAATCCTCAGAAGCATCAGATAAAGAAAACGTTTCACTTGTTGAAAAAATGAGACCAACAAATATTGCAGCTTATGTAGGACAAAAACAAGTTGTTGGTGGAGGAACTGTTTTGAGCCATTTATTAGAAAAAGGAGAGATTCCCAGTATGATATTTTGGGGCCCACCTGGTTGTGGAAAGGTAATATTAATGTTATTCATTGCGTTCTTCACTTTTATATTTTTTGTATTAACTATCTAATTTATATTCCAGACCTCCTTAACAAATGTAATAGCATGTTTAAGCAAGGAAATAACAGGTGACAATATGCACATTGTAAACTTATCGGCTGCCAGTTCTGGTGTAAAAAATGTAAAGGATGCTGTTACTGCTGCAAAGGATAAATCTAAATTTGGATGCAAGACAATTGTCTTTATGGATGAAATTCATTGTTTCAACAAGCTTCAACAAGATATATTTTTGCCACATGTGGAGACAGGAACTTTTACTTTAATTGGATGTACCACAGAAAATCCGTCTTATAGTTTGAACCCAGCTTTATTAAGCCGCTGTCGTGTGTTTGTATTGAATAAATTATCACAATGTGATATAATAGAGATTCTTCATAAGGCAATAGAGTATATGAATGGCTCAATATCAAACTTTAAATTTAATATTGATGATAAGACAATACAGTGGCTAGCAGAAGCATGTGATGGCGATGCACGTGTAGCTCTAAATACTTTAGAGTTATCAGTGCTTGCAAAAACATCAAACAGATTAAAAACGTCATACAGTAATAACATTATAACTATGAATGATATCAAAGAAAATTTGATAAAAACACATATGCTTTCTGAAAAAGAAACCAATCAAAGCCACCACATATATTCTGCGCTTCATAAATCTATAAGAGCGGGTAAAGCAAATGCATCTCTATATTGGATGGCCAGAATTATGGCAGCTAAAGAAGATCCAGTAAATATTGCGAGGCGCCTAGTTAGGATATCTAGCGAAGACATCGGTCTAGCAGATCCAGATGCCTTAGGTAAAAGAAAAGATTCAATTTTCATTATGTGAACGTGAATAAATTATTTTAAAACTTTAGGTGTAGCTGTTCACACAATGCATGGATGTCAAATGATTGGTATGCCAGAATGTGACGTACTCTTGGGACAATGCGCGGTTTATTTGGCAAAAGCACCAAAATCTCGATCAGTGTATAATGCGTTAAAAAGAACAGAGAAAGTTATTTTGGAACACAAAGGTCCTCAACCTGCTGTGCCATTACACATGAGATGCAATTCAACAAAGGTGCAGAGCGAATTTGGTAACATTTTTTCTATTAGTTACATAATTATTGTTAACTTTGAATTTTGTAATAAATTATTACCGTTTTCTTACAGACACTAGTAATCTAGTAAGCAACGAAAATTATAGCGAGACCTGTTTACCTACAGAATTATTGTGTTCAAACTTTTTTTAATAAAAAGCTAACTTGTAAATAATTAAAAAATAAACTATATAATATTTGATAGATACTTTCACATGTTCTACTTATAGCTGTAACTTTTTCATTATAATTTTCAATCTTCAGCCTTTAATATACAAAATTAAAAAAAAATAAATTAAAATTGTTATCAATTTCCACTTCAATCTAAAATTGAATTAAATGACTTCTCAGTAGTATGTCGATTGTTATATAACTGTTAATATTAGCTATTTAATAACCTTTAGTGCGCTATAAGTCAATGCCGTGGAATTTAACACACGATACATTTAATGTTGGCGCGTTATTGTCACATTGATCACACATTACGTAAATAGACGTCATAGAAACGTCATAGAGCAATACCTAACCAAGATCAATTTACTTTTTGTGACTGTATCACATGGAACTTTCCCTCTATTTAAAACGAGATCAATATTTAATTAAGATCAGAGAAAGGAGAAAGAGAAAGTTTACAGTCGATGTAGCGAACAAAGAACAGACTTAATGACGTCAGACACGTGTGTAAAGCGTTGGCTATTGGCTGATTCACAGCTGACGTGCTGACGCTATTTGGCGTAAGGCACTGATCGTGCTATCGCTCTTTTCCACTTACATCACATCTGTAAAGACGATTAGACGTACGACCGACGCTCAGAATAGCGACGGTTTGCTTCGCGCACGTGTCGTACGTTAAATTATAGTGCCTATCCTACATGCTGTGTCGCTCATTCTGTTCATAACGCTATGAAAATCTGGACATCAGAACATACCTTTGAGTAAGTATGGAATGTGTTTCTAACCGGATAATGCTCTCTACACTCTATGGATACTCTACATCACGCTTGGTTACTTGACGCAATCATTCGCGTAAAATTCGTCACGTCCTCTAAATGTTGAACTTTTTCTTATATAAAAACGGATCGCCCTTCACCGTTATCCTGCGTGCCACATAACCTCCTTACACCTGTTACTTTTATGAATGAAGCAACTTCTCGTTGATAGTGTAATAGGAAAAGTAGGTTACCTTTGATGCTTCAAACTCTAACATATATTTATATCATTTTTAAATTAATTTGCGAAATTCTGTAAGATATTGTTTATTGACACTTTAGAAATGTAAATGGGAGAAAGTGTATACAGTGTGTCAGTTATTATTGCGTCTACAAGTCCACGTTTCTCTCGGAAAATAATTCTTCGTTCGTTAATGACCTCTAAGAATCGTGACGCGATTTTCTAAGACAATAACGTTAAAAAATTTACTTGCAGTCATCCATGGGAGACAGTAGCACAGGCTGCATGGAGAAAATATCCAAACCCTATGGTTCCCTCCGTTATCGGAGCGGACGTCATCGACAGAAAAGTCGTCGAAGGTGTTCTTCATACACACAGACTTGTTGTTTCTACACAATGGGGATTTCCTAAATGGACGCAAGCGGTAAGCTCTATAATAATTCTTCATGTACCGCCATATTACTATGGGATAAGTGTTATCAGTGTTGAGATAACCGTATCAATTTTGGTATCCTACAAATTCCACGAAGTTGATACAAGATTTGTATATTTAAAAATCGACCTTATTAATTCATTTTAATATTATTTGTAACATACCAAACACACATCACTGCAGTTGTATCAATTCTGACACACTGATGGCAGCAGGAAGCTAATAGCAGGAAGTGCATAGCTATCACACAACATGCTACTTATCAAATACTACTTAAGCATACCATTTAGACAATTAGTGCTATCTCGGTAATATTATCTCGTAACTTATCGATATATTATACACGCGATAGTGTATTGTTATACACGTGACCTTTTAGTCTTATGTATGTATAGCTCGTACAGATGCCAGTTGAATAAGTGTTTCGCATAGTAAAATGCAATCTTATATGGCTGCTTATGTTGTGCCAAATATCTCATTCTGGTAATGCGATTAGCGTGCCTCTTCCATATACTCTTTTCTAGGATATTAGTCAGCTGATTTCGATTTTAACATGGTTGTATGTGTGTGTGTGTGTCTCATGAATATTCATGCAACGACCATGCATATTTATACCTACGCGACTTATTTAATTATAATCTTAATAAATATCTTAAATTGAATGAATAATTTTACGATTAACGTAACGTCGAAATTTATCATAATCTATTCAGTAATAGTTATTCAGATTTAATCGTAAAAATGATTAATAAAGAGAGATTACTAGCATAATATGATAAAGAATCTTCCTATACTGACTTCTTCTTACGATAAAGAGTTACTCTATGCATCGGTATGATGCTGCTGTAAAGAATGTTTTATCACGTTCCCGAGTACGTAGCCACGTGGGTGCAGGTCTAATACAAGGTCACCACTCGAGTCGACTTTACTGGTTGGAGGTGCGCGGATCGAAACGACGGTAACCTTGCGAGAACTTATCCACTGCTCTCGGTACGGACTAATATCGATTTTTGCAACGCGCTCTCGCGGAACACAGATAAAGCCATTCCATTCACGTGCAAATTTATCAGAACGACCTTTGCGAGACTTTTAAACATTCCGTATTATCGGCCAATGACGCTGCAATAAATTATCGACATTGCGCCGATGATTCAGAAATTTGTATAGTTCGTTTCTTTAATTTGTCATTCAAAATCACATAATTATACTACTATTATATACTTGACAAAAGAAAACTTGCTTAAAATGGAAAATTATAAATTTTTGTGATTGTTATTCAGCATGTACTCAGCATTTTTTAATATCGTTTGATTTAAATAGCTCAAATTTCTTACATCTCAGATCTGCGCACGTGTAGACAATATTCGATATATTTGCATCATTTTAAATTAACTTTAACTTTAATTTCAATTGAATCGCGGATGTCAAATAAATCTTAGAAATTTTTGCAGTATTAGGAAATAAATTCGTTTCAAACGCAGCAGCAGACATTGTGATCAATTATGATAAGCTATTACGATTATGTAATGTTGGTTGACGTTTGACTTGTTAGTGAACTCTTGCGTGAACGAGAGCTGTTCACGTGATACGCGGCGGTATTTTAAGTCGGAAATGTAAAACCTTTGATAATTTCCAACAAATGTTATTTTTCTTCCAAAACCATTTTATATATGTATAACTTGGTTTTGAAGTTCTTATTTTAGGTTGCATCAAATGTGTTTTGCGCATAAATTTTTTTCTACGGAAAAGCGCAGTTTTTCAAATTTTCTTGTTATAAAAAATGCATAGAAAGTATAGTTCGCACATTAACTAGCTCTTGTTATATCCATTGTTTTATCCGCTGAAAATACAACGGTCTCTACGCTTTCGATAAATCGATAACTCTGCATACGCTAACGCGACAGTTACGTAACAATTTCCTAGGAAAACAACATCATTGTTCTTGCAGATTTTTTTGTAGAGCGATTTTGCATCTCGATGCAAAACCTTTTTTTTTTATTAGCGCGATTTTTTCGACCGTTTCCACGTAAAATTGATATTGTACTGATCTCCTGCGGGCAACAAGAAATCAATCCAGAGTAACAGAATCATCCACCTCTTTCCGGTACAACCCGTTGTGTATTCGCAAAAACCTCACGCCGCTCACTCCAGCCTAGCAATCTCCGCCAGCGTGCCGCGGCATCGCGGAGACCCGGAAATTCGAAACTTTCGACAAACGCGCGCAAAAAGAAGGTGCCGGGGGTCCGGGGAATTGCAAAACAACATCCGCACTAGCATCAACTTTCATAATGAGCACGCTCAATGTTACGCCGTTTGGCAATCGTCCAGCCAGACGCGCCGGCCTTCTGGAATACCCAGCAGCCTCCGCTTTCTCGGACTCCCATCCTTCGCTATCCTACGATGCCTTCGTCGGCATACTGGAGATTCCGGGGCGTCGAATCTCTCTCGGCCCGGCGGATCGTTTTCTCTCGTCGGATTTTCTATAAGCCTCGGCCATTTCGCCGGACCGTTTCGTTGTGCAGTCACTCGCTCCAATGGCTCGACTTACAGTATCATACATAGGGTGTTCGCAGATCTACAGTACATAAAATAATGGTTCAATAATCGGCCGAGGATAAAGATTCATATAAAAAATCTAAATTCTTTCATTCAGTTTATCAAGATGAGATCGATGACGTTATTTTATTTTCAGATATTCTTTTCGTTATCTTTGTAATTAATGTGTCCACTAAATAATAAAATTACAAGAATATTGAACGAGAAAGACCGAAACAGAATTTACTTTCAAGTTATATTTAAGTTGAGATTAAAAAGAATTTCTAGGATACTGGAAAATTCAATTAAAAATTTCCATCGAATTTCGTTAAAAATTTTACGTAGAGCAAGTACGTGTCGAGCGGGTAGGATCAGATGTAGTAGTTATATTTCTCGAGCACTCTATATAAATGTTGCCGTGAGAAGCTGGAAGTTGCAGTATTTAGGTAGCTCCCCCGAATTACTTAGCGGGTGGAAAAGTGCGAAGGACCTTTTCAGCCACGATGCTTTCGCCGTTTTCAACGCTACATCCTGCTGCTGCGCCCGCCAGCGCGCTATTCCGAGTAATTAGCGGATGCACTCGACAATGAAACGCGCGCCGGAAAAAAAGTGCGCGAGAAAAGTTTGCTTATCGCGCCCGTTCGCCCGAAACGCTCGAATTGGCAGCCGAGCGTCGTATAAGCAGGCCGGTTTATTCGAGCGGCTAATTAGAATATGCATAATTAATCGGCGCGGAACAATAATTAAAGTGTACTTAGCGTGTCGGCCCAATTAGCGTCTTTCTAATTACCTAATTACTCATGCTAATTTGTTATTAATATCGCGCCGCCGCGGAAACTTATGGAAAACGCTCTTCTATTTCTTCCCGGCCGAAATAAGCGACTTAGGCCGAGACGTTTGCGCTTGCGAATTATTTACCGCCAACGATTAGTTGTAATAATTATCCATAGTTGCCGCTGCGTTTAACTACATTGTAAATACGTGCAAAAATCCTCGACATATGACATCAAATTGATTGATCGACCGCTTTGTCTACCCGAATGACTTTTATTTTTATTTGATATCATTTTGTGATAATCTCTTTCAGTTCAGTGTCTTTTTTGAAAAAGTGTCGGTTATGATTGATAACTTTGTACAGTTTGTAATGTTATCAAGATTGTGGAAACTGAAATATTTTTCATACAATGATGGAACAAATTTCATCATAAATTCCGGGCATTTGTATGCTTTTTATACATAATTATGGTATGAAAGCAGAATGATTCAGTCGCTCTAGGTGGTTCGCAAAATTAATTACCGGCTGTCTTCTAACGCAAAGCCAATTAATAGTCGGTTATCGCTTTCCGCTTATAGTATTCCGCAGGACTCGCGTAAATATCGCTTTGTATAAACGCCGATACGAGTGTATAGTGTATAGTGTATTTCGATAACGATCCTTTCTGATATTGAGCGCGAATGCTACTGTAATTCCTGCAAATGATATCTTATTAATGTTATTTGTAATGAATCAATAATAGCCAGCGGCATAATGAAATGCGGGGTTGATTATAATTTATTATAATGAGAGATGTTTGCACTTGATAGATTATTGGGTCACGCAGAATGACACGTAATAGAATTGAAAACAGTGTTGTATATAAACCACGCCTGTCATACATCAATTCCAAACTAATTTCACCCGTTCTATTGTATCTACGCTATGATAAATAATTCGCGAATTACCGCAATTTTATCGCACTTCTTTTTTCGCTCTGCTGCGCACGCTATGAAAAGTCGTGAAATCGAGCCGAAGTAGCTCTCGAAGACTGAAACATGCCATTGAAGTTTGGAAGGCTTTATCGTCGAATTCAATGCGGAAAGTTTGGAACCGGAAGTGCTTGTCTATAGCACTTCCAAGATTTTTATCGGTGGCCGAATCGGTTTTTAGCAGTTTGCCAGCCAGTTCTCGCCGAAACTACATTTAAATTGTGCGGACTTTTTTTTTACGCGAGCAAGACTTGCCGGGGCTTATTATGTGAGCGCACGTTTCTTCTTTTTTTTACAGTTAATCGGCTACGCGAACTTGTGTTACGCCAGCGAGCGCAGCGAGGTCGATCCTGTGAATAGACAAATGATCCTCAGGACGCATAATGTAAGTATTTTGTTTTTTTTTTCATCTGCTCTCTGCTAAAAAAAACGGGCCGAGAAACCGTCGCATTTTCCGGCGATTTTGCAACGTGATGCATCGTGCAGTTTGTGATGAATTTCTTCGCATTATGGAGCGGCTGCGCTAGCTGCGCATCATCATTTTGCCGATTTATTTCACTTAACTTTACTTATAACTGATATAAAAGCCGGTTTCTCGACCGCACACAATTGACATAAAAATAGATTTGGGCTTTTCATACATTATTAAAATGAATCCATCGTTTGTCAAGAGGAAAATTTTCCCTCGCACAAACCACCGGTATTCCCGTCGGAGAACACGCGTTGCGTTACACGAGAGCACTCTCGCGCCTATCACAAAAACGATATCTCTAACCGTAATTCAATATCTCCGATCGCGTTTCCGATATGTACAGAATTCCGTTAAATCACGAATCTCCGAAATATCTATCAGTGCGTATGCTTCGCTCAATTAGAATCGCGTAGAACTGTGCTACTTGCACGTTTTTCACTGAATTTTATAACAGAGATAACTTTGATCGTTTTCTACCTATAGAAATATTCGCGTATGCGATAATGAGTGCGCTGTAGCTAATTTAATCGCGATTTAAAATTAGATTTTCGTACAGTAATATCATTATATATTAAAATTTTTCGGCAATATCAGAGTCTCTGACTTTGCCATAAAATGATTTTCGATTGTAATATTAGTACGAAAAACACATGCAAAATTGAGAATTTCAAAGCACTTCTATTTCCAATGCATAATTACGGTGACAATTTTGATACTATTTTTGTTTGAACATTTTCAATTTTAGCTTTGACTATAGTGAGCGTAAGTGATAAAATTGGCAATTTTGCGGCCGTAAATGCGTATCCCCGAAAATAATGTTCGTCTCGTAGTCGACGAGTTACGTACTCGGTTATATCAACGGAAGCATCGAAACGCATCGACGGCCGCATCGCGTACGGTTTCTCGTTTCTGCGACGGCAAAGCGAGCATTTTTGGACGATTTTTCGACCATGACGAAATTGCAAATGCGTCGCAGTCCCTGCTGCAAAATGGCACTTTAATAGAGTGTCATCCGGAAAGAAGGAGGGAGAATCGAGCGGTCGCTCCATTAACGCGTAATAAAAGCCTTCTTCCCGCAACGCTGTTTCTCTTTACATATTTCGTCGGTAAAATTCAAATGGAAAAACGAACCCCATTTTGTCACGGTTTAGACCCACTAGATTTATTGTTTTGACGTCTATTGAATTGTTGATGCCTGAATTTACCGCACAATTTCCGTGCTACATATTACATTATCATACAAACGATAAAGTTAAATTTTATTGCTTCTACGGAGTTTTTCTTTTTCAGTTTTAGAAAGCAAAAATTGAAAGGAAAAATATTATGTAATTGAATTTAAAAATAAAATAGCATGAATATTATATTGAGGTAAAATAAATCACATAGCAATGTTTTTCTCATTATATTGTCTCTTCCGCGAACCACGTGGGATAGTAAAGTTTGTTGAGATGAATTCTCAGTTCGCTTTATTCAGCAAGCAATATTGTCAAATTGCTGTAAAAGTTTTTTATATCGAGTTCGTGCCTAGAAAAGTTTCCTTTGGAAACTTAATATTGTTTAATATCTAATAACACACGGGTTGTAATAAAAAAATTTGCAATCTTCACGCAGTTAGTTCTCCTAGTCGTCGTGCATGTGCAACACGTTTCGGATGGAGGTGCGCCGGCGTAAAATCGCCGGATTTTTTCCGAGCCGCTATCAGAAAACGATTTTCGAGCCCCCGATTTACATAACATCCGTTCCAAGGAGTATGCATAGTAAAGACCCTCAGGAGAAGTATCTAGCTGCAAGCTCGAAGAGATCGACGCGTCTGAGAGATCGGCGGGCGAACGTGTTGGCGGCAAGACGAGAGGGAGAAAAGCGAGAGGGGTTGAGAGGGGGCTGATGCACGCCACCACCGCATCCAGAAGGTTGGATATGATAGGTTATTGATGCGCGCATTACCGGGGGTTGCATAGCTGGGA